TGTAATCTAAAATGTTGTTTGGTATTCTATCAATGCTCCACGTAACGCCCTTTCCATGTTAAAATCATCTCTCTGTGATTGTTGTTTCTTGGTCATTGTTATCACTTTATTTTTGGTTTTGTCTTTTATAAATCTCCTACTTTAATTTCGAAGCTGGTTTGCAGAAATAATTTGTTAAGTAGTTTGCGATCCACTAATTATCTTAAGCTTCAGATTAATAAGTAAAGGAATATTTAAAGGTTATAGGATACAGCGCACGTGGTATTAAAGAAATACAAAAATCTTGCCAATTTACGATAAAACCTTCAATAATTATAGATTAAAAGCCTGTATAAAAAGCTCGTTAACGAATTTGTATGATGAGCATCGTTTTATTCTAATTAGACGACGCCACGGTGGCTCAGTGGTAAACTTAAGGGCTTATAACACTAAAATTTGGGCTTCGGTTCCCTGCAGTAAAAATGGGGCAGATAGCCTATTGCATAGCTTCTGACTTAAAACAAATAATTTCTAATTATCTTTGATATAAGTTGCATAAATAAAATAATAATTGTTTTATTGGTAATTTTAAACAAATATATTGAATGTGTTTTGGCAAAGAATAAGATAAATTTATAACTGTACGGCAAAAATTAGACACACATATATCACATGTAACATTATAATTTATTGACTCTTGAACATTCAAAACGTCATAATAGACAACCAACTTTTTCAGATTTGTATCACCAGAAGAGCTACCGTTAAAGTAGCAAAATAGTGCATTTACAAGCATGACAAGTCTGTCATTAAACTATTGCCTGGTCAGTTACGCAATTGCGAATAAATGATATTGTGATATATTGTCTTCGGTGCATACATGACTGGATAATAATTTAATGATAGAATTTCGACATTTGCCTATCACATGTATATATATATATATTCACTAATTATTACATTCTTTGCACATACCGCATAAGACATAATTAGTTTCGTGCAGATAGGATAAATTATAGTAATATTTTAATATGTTAAAACAAACCCTCCGGATGACGGTAGTGATAAGATCAGAATCAACCATAGGGAGTATTGAATAATTTATTTAGGGAAGTTTTAAGCCCAGTTAAATTATTTCGTCTGCGGATTACATGCACATAAATGACGTTTTCCTGGTCTTGTATCTACTATGCCCCCTTCCCCCGTGGCTAAGTGGTAAGTCAAGGGCTTATAACGGTAAAAACTTGGTTTCGATACTCATGTTGGGCATGGTAGAGATAACCCATTGTGTAGCTTTGTATTTAGTAACAAACAACGTATCAACTATATAATTAAAACTTGTTTTTCATCATGTTCGAAATATCTTAAATAGTAAAAAAGGTTGTATTTTATGTTGCTTAATAGAAACGGTTTCATATGTTTCTGTAGTGAAAGTCAGCTTGAGTACTAAGGGTGTATTTACGTACCAATATTATTTCATAAAAGACGTAAAAATATCTATATAATACTTATTATGATAAGAGTTCTGTTACACTTTGTCGAAATAAAGAAAATGAGTGTTGATGGTTAAGGTTTGTCTAAAATGGTTATTTTGGATAATTAAAAAATCTACATAACGCAAAAAAATACAACCATCGAAATTAGTTCACGTTTTTGAGTATGAAATGTATTATTAAAAATACTAAATAATCAGAAATTTTAATTCATGGAAAGCTTGTTTCTTAGTTTTTGAAAAATGTTTTCCTAAGGTTTGAAAATCTGTGGAAACTTCAGAACTGGGACAAGCTGAGTGGTACTTTTTATTAGATGAATTTTTATTTATTTAAGCGAAATCATTTTTCTTGGAAAAACAAAAGCGAACAAGAAAAATCACCACAATTTATCAATTTTGCCAGATGATTTAAAAAAGTAAAGACACAATGACCTTAATGAGTTTCCAAGCTATAACAGAGTTGTTGTTGTAGTAGCTGTTTTTTTAGCGCAAAGCTATCGCAAGGGCTATATGGGCTCTATCCAGCTCAGGGAATCGAGCACCGAATTGTAACGTTGTAAGTCCGTAAAACTACCGATGACACATCACAGAGACATGGCTGAACTGTGTTTTAACACGTGGACTGAAGTTCATAATAAAGTGTACAAAACTTATCCATACAAGTAAAGAATAACATATCATAGAGACATGGCTGAACTGTGTTTTAACACGGGGACTGAAGTTCATAATAGAGTGTACAAAAATTATCCATACAAGTAAAGAATAACATATCACAGAGACGTGGCTGAATTGTGTTTTAACACGGGACTGACTTTCGTAATAATGTGTAAAAAAGTTATCCATGCAAGTAAAGTATAATATATTTACTACTTTTTTCTAATAACAGATTGTGAATATCTGTTTGAAAAATGTTTAAAAATATTATACTGTTTACTTTTTGAAAACTTATCTCTAGAATTAGAGATGGGTCCAGACCCCCACCGGCTTTTTAAATACACTTTATTAAACTATTAATGCACCAAAATATTTATGAGTCCATGAGTTTGTTGCTTTAGAATACCGAATAGCATACAAGTCGCAAAAGATGTAAACAAATACCATCAATATTGCTACGAATTATGGGTGTGAACCCAAATGTATTGAATACCAGAAATTAATACTTTCGCTCATTATTTTGTCCAGTTCTTTACAATGAGTATTGTAACGTATTCTAACATTTCTTGATATGATGTCATATGTGGACCTCACCGGCAGTGAATGGTATAAAAACAAAGCAGTAATTTAAGGGTTCAAATGGGGTTACTTAATTATTTATTCTATTTGTTGTAAAACATTTTTATGGTATAAAGATTTTCAAAGAGAAATAAATACGGATAAGGCTTGATGGAAATTTTCAGATTAATTAATATCACCAGATGACGAAACTTAACTAATATCATCACATGACGAAACGTAACAAATAAAGCAGTGAAGTATCAATAGGTTTTTGTTTTCAACTTAGTAGCATGCCAAAGAGCAATCTTGTTTCCTGAACAATGTTGTACTCACGCACACTCCAAGCTTTTCCTCCTAACTGATCTCTTAGAACTCATTGGAACCTCAGCTAAATGGTTTACGAGCCAAAAAGACAATTCTTCTTTTCATTTCCTTCTTGATTGAATTACGCTGAACCTATTACGATCTTGTTTACGTCGCCAATATGTTATTCTATAGTGGCGATTGTCCTCAGACGAGAAACGTAACCTTAAGTAAAAGAAAATAGCATTTTTTGTTTAAACGAGACTCAGAGCTGAAATGTATAATATATATATATATATATATATTAAATGGCGATTAATTATTTATATAAGTATGTGAACGATTTTCAATGTTTATATATTACTATTAATAATACACCTGGAAATAAACATACTGACTTATCTGTTTACTTTTTGACTGCCCCCCAGTGACACAGCGGTATGTCTGCGGACTTATAACACTAGAATCCGGGTTTCGATACCAGTGGTGGGCAGAGCACAGATAGCCCATTGTGTAGTTTTGTGATTAATTACAAACAAACTTTTTGACTTTATTTTACGATTAATTTAATTTTATTGAACAGCAAACAATATAAAACATTGTAACATACACGTTCGACATATTTGCTTTAAAGAGCAGGCCTGCTTTTCAATACTGGCTGATGTTTGAGGCTGTAATAACTGGAGATGTGAGGAATTTCAGAAGTGTTCCTCTTATAGTAATATTCATTTTTTTAAACCGGAAGAATTTTATAGTAAAAACGAAATATTATGTTTTTGCCACGGAAAGGCCTGGCATGTGTTGATGATTAGAAACTCAAGTAGCAATCTAGGAGTAGTGGGATCGAAAACCCATCCTCGAAAATGCTCGCCCTTTCAGTCGTAGGGCATTATAATGTAAATCACATTATTTATTCATCAAGAATAATTTAAGAGTTGGCGGCAGGTGTTGCTCACTCGCTGGTATTATCTGATCTATCACTTAACAATTAGGGACAGCTAGCTCAGATAGCTTTTGAGTAGCTCTGAGTGAAATTCAACAAACAAACCATTCACATCAGTAAATATTTCAGTGGAGTAGAGTGTTCTTTAATACTATATGCATTATGTAATATTCTTAATTGAATTCCCCATCCCTGTGGCTCAGGAATAAGCATGATGGTTTATAACGCTAATGTTTGTTGATATATATCTCTGCGACGGGTACAACAAAGGTAACTTATTGTGTAGAATTCCGCTTATCAACAAATAATCAATATACTTAAGATACTAAATGCAGAAAAAATGTAATCTTTTAGCATTTTTACTTTTTTCAAAGTGCTATACAAAATTTAAAGTTCTATTAATTTAATTAATTAATATTTTGTGCGTAAATAAAGACATTCTGTACTATAAATTATATGGCTTGGCTTACATAATAATACAGTAATTGTACCACACGTATTTCAAGCACAATAACAACAGCACTATTTTTGTTGTTTTAATATTAATCACATGAATTTGGATCTGAAACTAAATAATCACCATTTCGAGACATTGTAACTATTGCCAAACACAACTATGCGTGATATATGCTTTAATCATTTAAAAATGAGTCGTAATATAATTTGCCAATTTAAAACTTTATAGGATTTAATTAATTCTATTATATTTTATCCCTCAGGAAATTTCAAATGTTTTTATATCTGTTTTTTTTTTAGTTTCACGTAAAACACTTTCAAGTTAAAAAAGGCTTTGATAAAGCAAATAAAGCAGAGTTTTATCTTTCCCATCTTCTCTATTTCCCTGGAGTGTTCTGAGAAATAAAATAATTATTCAGTTTTATTAAGAACGAATAAAACAGGAAAAAGTTTGTTGAAGTTTACTCTGAATATTTATAACTTCTTCCCTCATTATTCTGTGGGTAAGGCTGAATCTGATCTCTCTAGACCACATCCAAAGATAGATTTTAAAAATCTAGCGTAAGGAAAACATCTGCCATATTATTTGCACTTTTTCTCTTTTACACACAGAGTCTGAAGAGCCAGATTATGACAACGAACGTTTGGGTGGAGCAGGTAAGATTAAAAAAATATTTTTTTTAAAATTTTAAGGGAAATAGTTAAAAAAACACTGTTTAACTAAATTGAAATCACAAAAATTTCTTTATGTCTCTTAAAAGTTATAATTTGACCATCGAATTAGCGTTCAACTTAAGCTCGTCTTAGCAGTTTAGAAAAGTATTTAAATCTTGATCTACTAACCTATAAAATCCTGTATATAATAACACAGGTTTTTAGTGTGTGGAAAAGAAAACCCAACAACAACAGGGCTTGTGATGAATGAAACTTAAGTTAGACAACAGTATGAAGACTTCACTGAGCGTCTGGGCCTGGACGTGCCCTAGTAGTGAGGGCGACCGGATTGTGATTTTGAGAGTTCAAGCTCGCATCCCGTTGCCCTAAAAACTCTCTCGGCACTTTGAGGCCGTGAGTACGCTATAAGAGGAACTGTTTCATTAGACAAGAGTAGCTGAAGGATTAGTAGTGGGTGCTGTCGACTACCTCTACTCTAACAGTTCCAAAACAGGAACGGCTATGCGGAGATAGGCCATGCAGGGCCATAGCGATCGTGTAGTAGTTTCGTATGGTGTTTCTCCAAATTCTGTTGGAGGTGAATATCCGGGAGTAGGGCTGACGTTCTAGTTCGGACACCGGGTGAGCATGTTTCGGTGTGACGGGGATTACGAGTCGAGTGCTCTAACCACCAGGCCATGCAGGGCCATAGCGATCGTGTAACGAGAAGTAATCAAACAATTCATTGCGTGTCACTCATAACTAAACATAAAGGAAAGATTATTGACGACTTTAATTATCGTTCTTACTTGAAGACCAATGCAACATACTAGACGATATATTTTAATTAAAACAACTTATTAAGTCTTTAAATTCCTATTGCTTAGATCAAGCCTAACGGTAATAGAGCTGATAGTTTCAAGAAAACTTGATAGGAATACTTAACAACTGGAAGGATTGAACCTCAAACTCTTCAACGATTGGATGATAGTAAGCCCCCTTTAGATCCTGGTCAACAACGATGAAGAAGTTGACGTAAGGATGAGAAAGGGAATATTGCCAAATTATTATTTTTTCACAAACGAAACTTCCCGGTGAAAGACAACAGGTCCAATGTAGAAAGAAAAATTGGATTTTTCTAGCTTGACTGGTAGTAAAGTCCAGTTTATGTGAGTAACGTAAATATATAAGTGTTTTATTTGTTATCGATTTTTTTTTTTTTAGTTTTAGCGCAAAACTACACAATATGCTATCTGAGCTCTCTCCATCACGGGGAATCGAATCCCGGATTTTAGCATCGTAAGTCCGTTAAGTTACCACAGACTCATTTGGAGACATTTGTTACTGTACTATCTGATAGAGAATTATTAAACACAACACGTTTTTGGAAATTAGGATTGTAATTTTGCATTTTTTTTTTGTAAGAAAATACATTATGGAATTGGAATTTTAAAACTGACGATACTGTGAATATAAAAAGAATATCGGACATTTTAAAACTGTTCTTCAAGAACTGTTCCAGTACTTGTTTAATACAGGTAACAAAACAAAATAAAATACGTTGAGCTACTCTAACACCATAACTATACATATACATAAATGTCGGATTGTTTGATGCATAATAGTTTTAAAAACAATTTATACTGATCCAGACACAGTCAGAGGAAATATCATTATTATATTTTGCTAAATGACGATTTTTTAGAGCTACAGGAGAGCATTTTAGAGACTTTGAAGCTTCAATGCGTGGCTTATCACTCTGAAAACATACTAAATACATCCACTTAGTTACCAAAACGACTGTTAGCATCCATAAAGTATTTACACCATTGAAAAAACAGCGACTTTCCTTATTTTTGTGATAAGAAAATGAAATAAAAAATAATTTGATGTTTCAACGCTTTACATAAAAGAACAAACGCTCATTCACTTCGACTGAATCATTGATTTTTTCGCGATTTATTAATTTGAGTTGAAACCTTTCAGATGAATATATCTCGAATGCAAATTATTACATGTATATATATATATGTATTTATTCAGTACTATTTTGTTTTGAATTTCGCGCAAAGCTACACGAGGGCTATCTGTGCTAGCCGTCCCTAATTTAGTAGTGAAAGACTAGAGGGGAGGCAGATAGTCATCACCACCCACCACCAACGAATAGTGGGATTGACCGTCATATTATAATGCTCTCATGGCTGAAAAGGGGACGGGGATTCGAACCCGCGCTCTTCAGATTGCCAGCCGAGCGGCCTAACCACCTGGCCATGCCAGGTCTCAGTACTATTTTGTTTTGGGAATTTCTTAATTGAACTATTGCAAACAAGCTGACAACATTTTCTTTCAATGAATAGACGACACGAAGTTCTGACTAATGAAAGTTAATATACTAATTGTTAAACGCAACTGTAAACTCTAATTACATTAGAAACCAGTCCTCATAGTAATAATTTATGATATAATGATATGACTCTCGAAATCAGTCATTTGAGGTTGCAGTGACATGAGAGAACGTTTCTGCTCTAAATAATCTGCCAACAACAAGGACGAGAGACTGAATGTGGTTATAAAAGTATGAAATAATTAATGAAATTCTATTAGCATCTTTTTAAACATCATTACGAATTAATTTTATTTTACATTTTTACTCACTACTGTAGTTTCAAAAGCAAGGATTTGTGCACTGGATAGAAAAATACAAAAAAAAATTATATGAGTGTAGATGAACAAACTCTAAATGTGGCAATTATTTTATAAATGTCAAAGTTAATTACTGGTTCAAGGTTTTATTTCGTTGATAAATAATGTGATGCAGACAAACAATACAACTGAAAAAAAAGATTAGGGTGTCATAATTTAAATAGAAACTAAAGATTTGGTTATCATTAAACGAAATGAAAGAATTGTTACTGCATAGATGTACAGCACAAATTGCAATTTTAAGAGTCCCTTATATGACGTCATTTTAGTGTCTACTGACTGAGTGACACATGGAGCGAGTGATTAAAACAGGTGACCCCTTCAGGCGGCCTTCAGTCCCCTTTGTAAGGAAGTGAATTTTCAAGTATCATCATTGACAAGTGTGTAAGAAAAGAGCTTAATAATGCCAGTAATCCTAGGCCTAGCATGGCCAGGTGGTTAGGGCGCTTGACTCGCAATCTGTGGGTCGCGGTTTCGAATCCCCGTCACACCAAACATGCTAGCCCTTTCAGCCGTGGGGGCATTATAATGTGACGGTCAATCCCACTATTCGTTGGTAAAAGAGTAGCCCAAGAGTTGGCGATGGGTGGTGATGACTAACTGCCTTCCCTCTAGTCTTACACTGCTAGATTAGGGACGGCTAGCGTAGATAGCCCTCGTGTAGCTCTACGCGAAATTCAAAACAAAGAAATAAACAAACCAGTAATCCTCAACACATACGGTTTAAATATCCAAAGAAATACTGGTAAACATTTTATCATACTGTAAAATAATTAAGTTGAGACTAATTGGCATACGTATCATAAGTTTAATTAAAATATATTTTTAAACCAGTAATTAAAATTATGAACTGATATGAATTCCAAAGCTTAGTACCAAAAGTGTAGTTTGGTTAACTTTAAAGGGTGGGATGTTCTCTTCAGGTGTACAAAAAACACCTATTCGGTTGAAATATGAGGATATCACCAGTACAATCAGAGTGAAAAATACGTGACCTCTGTCCATACGGAGGTCAAAACATCTGATCTTCATGCACACGGGACACAATAAAGTTTTAGAAAATCATGTGACCTTATAATTACAAGAGAAAATTCTCAGTAACCACGGCAATTGAAATCTTTTTAGGCAGAATTGCAGTAAATTAACCAATGAAACCTTTTTTCCCCTCTTTTTATTAGCTTGTGCGTCAGCAATATCAAGCGTGGGGCGGGCATATACCCGATTCAATTTTGTTACTCAGGACCTATACCAACCTACCCTCAAATCGAAATTCTTTTAGGCAGGATTAGAATAAATTAACCTATAAGACGTTGGGCGTGGTTAAATACATCAAATGAAATGGTTTGACCTCCTGAGTCTAAAACTGGAATCATATCTCAAGAGATGACGGAGCTATGAGCTAAAAGTTTGTAATTGAAATACTTAGAGCCATTCTATGAGCTACTATACCGCGGCTAAAAAATGGGTTTTGTTTATCATTGCTTATGATTTTAGATATAAGGATAATCATATAATCATAAATGAAAAATTATGTGACATATAATAAAAAATACAGTTTTAAACTTCATTGAATTTTTGGAAAAACACTCGTGATTGTAACTCTAACAACGTTCTTAGATATAGATTACTACTCTTAGCCTAGCCCTCCAGGTTTCTTGAAAATAACAGTTGACACGTATTCTTTACACAAGTTTTTTGTGAGCTCTTGAGCTTCTCTGCTAAGTCACAAGAAGAAGAGGTATAATGGAAAGATTACACTCGTATGTTCAGAGCACACTCACATGTTCAGAGTACAATCGCATGTTTTACCTATGCTTAGTTACAAGAGTAACAATAACGGGAAGACAACGCTCATGTGTTTTACCCAGCTATATTATTTTGTTAGGAATGGAAGGATTACAAGTTGCGTTGGGACCCTGAAGAATACGGAGGCGTCTCTAAACTTCACGTGCCAGCGGAGCAGATATGGCTGCCAGACATAGTCTTGTATAACAAGTGAGTATTTTCTGTCTTTAAAGATAAGAGCATTTTTTAAGTTACATGTAAAAAAACAACAAAAACGAATGAACATTTAAGGATAATTAAAATCAAATTTATTTATTAAAATTATTATTATTTATTTATTATCATTTTCATTTTCCTTATAAAATGAAGTATCTATATTATTTATTTCATGACTAATGTAGTGCTGACGGCAATTACGAAGTGACCATCATGACCAAAGCTGTCCTGCATTCCGACGGTTTGGTCATTTGGCGACCACCAGCAATCTACAAGAGCTCGTGCGAGATGAACGTTCAGTATTTCCCCTTTGACGAACAAACTTGCTTTATGAAATTTGGTTCCTGGACGTATGATGGCTACACGGTAAGTAAAACTTGGACATTTGTTGGTTCCTGGACGTATGATGGCTACACGGTAAATAAAACTTGGGCATTCAATAACTGATCAGTGAGGCTTGATACACTGCTACGTGGTACGTGGAAGAATTCGTCTGATTAGAAACAAATATACAGATTTTTGATGGACAAGTAACACATCTGTAGATGATATAATATGAAGAAGTCCTAATTATTCATTAAGTTTTGACGATCTGAGAGAAATATTCCTTGAAATCACAAGAGGTAACAGGTAATTTCAATGATTTGATGTGACGTATTCAAAGCATTTTTGTGAACTATCAAGGTGTGTACAACAAATATTTGTGAACTGGCAACTGGTATATACCAGGTATTTATTAAATGGTGAGAAGTATACACTAAAGTATAATGAACTAAGAAAAGGTTACATTAAAAATTTGATAAACTGATATAAGTGTAAAATAGCATGATGAAATGTGAAGTGGTTAAATAGAAAGTTTTGTGTATTGAAAAGGAAGAACAACACAACTTACTACTAGGCATAGTTTAAATGCCTATACCTTTATAGGTATTATACTTTTGTTGCACTTACTAAATGATTAAATGACAACCACAGTGTGAGTTATCAAAACGTGACGTGACCTGGCGGTTAGGACGTTCATTCTGCTACCTGTAAGTCACGGGATGAAAACCTGGAGCCGAACATGCTCGCCCTATCAGCCGTGGGAATGTTATAAGTTAACGGTCAATCTCACCTTTTGTTGGTAAAGAGGAGCCTAAAAGTTTGACGGTGGGTGCTGTTGGCCGATTTCCTTCCCTATGGTCAGCAGTTCTAAATTAGGAATGGCGGAAGATATATTTTAAAATAGTAAATTTGCCATAAAAACAAACAAACAAGCAAGATGCGATGGTACTCTTGTGCAGTTAATTTTCACATCGTAAATGGGCGTCTTTCCAGTAGTTTTTGCATTTTTCTCTAGTTTCTTCATTGTCTCCATATTTATTTCCAACGATGTAAATTTAACAGTTTGATGCCCTTGATAAGAAGTTGCGATAAATGTGATGGTCTAATAGCAATTATTCATTAAGTTCTTGCTGACTTATAATGATATATTTTTATTTCATAAGCATGCTATTTCTCAAAAGTATCTTTTCTACTATATTTAATAGAATCAAACGTAATACTATAGATATTACTAACTATATGTATATTAAAAAAATAACGTCTAAAGTAACCATTATTATCGCTCGAGAACTAAGTATTAATATCTCGAATATAGTTTAATAAATTACCTAATGTTTTTTTCTGAAGAATGGGAATGAAAACATTGTAATAACCTGGTTTGATTATTACCAATTCCCAAAGATTGTGTATAGTGTTGTATTCGAAGCTAAATACGCCAGTTGTTCAATGAAAAGTGATTTAAAAAGATTTTCAGACTTGGTTTATATTTCATACCAATGCTTGAACGAATGTAACATATATTTAGTTTTTATTACAACATATCTAGATTAAGGTGAATGTAAGTTTTTAAATTATACAGACAGTTGAACGCTAAATATTGCGGAGTTCTTTATTTCAGGATTCTGAAAGGAGGTGCACATTTTTTAATTTATTATTCATCGAATACTTTGTGAGTTAGGTTGACCTGAAACATAAGCACCAATCAGAAGATACCGAAGAAATTGCCATTGGAATTGACTTGAGTGATTTTTACTTAAGTGTCGAATGGGACATCATGGCCGTGCCTGCGAGACGCAAGGAGAAGTTTTACAGCTGTTGCGACGAACCGTATCCTGATATCACCTTTAATATCACTTTACGACGGAAAACTCTTTTCTATACTGTCAATCTCATTATTCCTTGTGTGGCAATCTCGTTTCTGTCAGTTGTAGTGTTTTACTTACCCTCAGAAAGCGGAGAGAAAGTGTCATTAAGTATCTCGATTGTACTCTCGTTAGGCGTGTTCTTCCTGTTACTCTCGGAAATCATCCCCCCGACCTCCCTGACGGTTCCCTTGCTTGGAAAATATCTCCTTTTTACTATGATATTGGTGTCATTTTCTGTGTTTGTCACAATAGCTGTTCTGAACGTCAATTTCCGGTCACCATCCACCCACCACATGGCACCTTGGGTCCGTACGGTCTTCCTAGAAATCTTGCCCAAGATCTTGAGAATGAAGAGACCTCAAGAAAGCGAAGAAGAAACACAACCCGATGTAAAGCTTGAAGGCAGAAGTTTTGACGGTGTTGAGATGAGGCATCCTGGACCTGCTGATAAACCAGGATTTTTAGAATACGAGTGTTCCTTCCATGGGACAAGCTACACAGTGGCTGGTGTCGGGGATGACGTGGATCCTGATGTTAGTCCTTCTGCTCTTCAGGAGAGGAAACTGTGTCCTGAATTGGAAAGAGCTGTCTTAAACGTGCGTTTTATTGCTCAACATATGGAAAACCGGGATAGTTATTCGGAGGTAAGATCAATCATCCGATCAGTCTCAGACAAGTAAGGTAAATACATTGTTTCTGGTGATTTATAGACTGTCCACTGAGACACGCGTTACTGTTTTATTATATTCTAAGATTCGCCATTTGTTATATTGTTATACGATTAAAATTTTCGGCAAGATATTTACTTGTTCAATCCACAAAGAAGAAAGATTAAAGATGAAACCTATAATATCTCTGTTCACTTGCATTTTATAGGTAATGATCTAATAAAAGCCCTTAAAAATAGAAATAAAAATAAGTTATATAACAACAGCTAAGTTCAATTGAGCAAGTTGAAGAATATTAAAACACACCGATATATCTTTTATCAATCAATATTTCGTTCTTAATACTGTTTGTTCAGAGAAACTTTTCTATGTTCTTAGATTGAAGGAGACTGGCAGTTTGTTGCAATGGTCTTAGATCGCCTATTCCTTTGGATATTTACACTGGCCTGTGCTATTGGGTCGGCATGCATCATTTTAGAGGCGCCATCTCTCTATGACGACCAACAGCCGATCGACGTGGTTCTTTCCAAGATGGCACCATCTCGTCTGCATCATCTCAAAGACTAATACTTTCTCATTTTAAAGTAATTTTTTTTATTTATGGAAGTGAAATACCACGAGGGTTATTTTCTTTAATTTTGGATAATGTTAACTTGAAGCATTAATGCTCAGTTAGCAGTTGTTTTTGATAATTATAAAAGCAGGATTTGAATGTGTACAATCACAGATTTGATTTATTGTTAAAGTCAGTTAGAGAATTAACTTTCCGGTGAGTTGACAAATTATTATATTCAGTAACAACATCTTTACAGTGAGCCGAACAATTTTTCCCTTTAATTCCAACTATTGTTGTATGAAACATTAAATACCTGAAATGTTCAAAGCAAATGATCGATGTAATATGCCTATAAAAATGGTTTAAAAAAATGTATTACATTTGTATGTGTGTATTTATCTGTTAGTCTTCAATGGGTTGAGTAACTTGATTGTGGTAAATAGGAGAACGGATTTTTTGTGTGTTGTGTTGTTTATTCCATAAAATCTCTGATAGCGCAAGAGATAGATTAACGGTAAGTTTACGAACATACAATACTAAAATCCGGGGTTCAATTCTTGTGGTGTAAAGAGCGCTGACAGCCTACTGTGTTGCTTTGCGCTAAAAAAAAACAGCGTAAGACGACGAGACAAATCGCACTGGATTATGTTAGGTTTGCATGAAGAAGTGTTTAGTATTTATTGAACTGCAAGAAATCCATCATGAAACGGTAAAATCCGTCACACGTGCCAGTCCTTTCTCATAAAAGATTTACTGGGACCCTGGGCTACCATGATACGTCTGTTCGACATATGTTGAATGAACTGCATATGGCTCGTGGAATGTCTTTCAATGTAACGGATGCTGTATACGAAGCTATTTTGATTATGGGCACTTTTGACTTATAGATATATATACACTAATACTCACATGAAAGCCTATTGCAGTACCATTAACTTCACAAAAATACCAAGTTGAGAAATGCGGGTTTTTATGTGTGTAAATAAACCGGCTTGTCATAAATAAACTATGAAAGCGAAGTATTAAACATAAATGTATGTAATGGATGCTACAATTGTATATGAAAGAACCGATTCCAACATTTTAATTTCTAAGTACATTAACGGAGAAGCCATTTGAAATAGAATTTTCATATTTTCCAATGAAACTGGTTTAAATACGATGACAGCGTAAACAATTGTACAATATTAGAAATATTCTTGTAAAAAATTGTACAAGATTACAAATATTATTGTAAACAATTGTACAAGATTACAAATATTTGCACTACCGGCACTTGTGTTTAATTTTTAAAATTATAATAAATAATTAAAAACAACGTTTTATATTTACACAATAAAAACTTTATTGAAGCCGTACTTTATTAAAAACGTTGTTTTTAATTATTTATTATAATTTAAAAAATTACAAATATTCTTGTAAACAATTGTACAATATTACAAATATTCTTGTAAATAATTGTACAATATTATTTATACCGTTAAAAGTTACGAACAAAACGAATTTCGCTAATATCGTAAATATTACTCTAACATTAGAAAATAATAATTCGATTTGGTTATTTAGATCTTCAACTTTATTTCTTGAGAAACTTTCATTTTCTGTCAGGATTCCAAAAAGTAATTTTTTTGGAAATCCACTCAAGTTCTAATTAATTAACCTATCAGATGTTTGATGTTTTACCTTAGTTGAGAGGACAAAATAAGAAAATTTCTTTAGTTAAATGTGAGGAAACCGTGCCAGTTCATTACGGATTTTCAAACTAACGATGGAAACCTGGCATGGTAACTGACTAACTGTAAGGAACGTTGAAAACAGAATGATGCTCTGTCGGGTGCCATATTTCATCATATTCGATAACAGTTAAGAACTTTCTAGCTTTACCAACCTTGCATGTTTATCATCTTTAAAAAACGAATTTGAAACCAATACATAAATTAAAACTGAGACAAGTACACTTACGTTTAATACTATTGCTTTGATTTTACCATTTGCATTCAGAAACATAGATGCTTATGTAATTTAACAAATAAACTCCAGGGGAAACGTAAACTAGAGACTTTTAACAAAGATCGTCATTCAAAGAACCAAAGGTCTAGTATAAATGTTTATTTAAGTCAAGAGCCAATTAGTTTCCACAATCACTCAGCTATGAATTTAGTTTAGCGGGCATCTTATACGCATCTAGAACGATAAAGGAAGTAAATTTTGAGATATTTATACTTGTTATTAAATAAACCTCGCAGAAGTCTGGCCACTTTCAATAAGTCTTACGTTACTCTGTACGTCAGTTGGTCATGGCTTTACATTGATGGCGTCAATTCATTCAAAATAATAGAATAAAACTAAGATTAACATGAAAATGTTTACAGGAATTTAATAGGATCGTGATTACAGTGTAATCTGGGCTCAAACATCTTGCCCAATTAGGATATTGGACACATCATATTTGAATTAGATTCGATAAAAGAAACAACATTTAGAAATATACTATAGAAATATTTCATTCAAATTTAACAATTAGTAAAGTATTTTGTAATTACGTGTTTTACAATTTTACCTTAATCTGTTGGAGTCATTTTGCCAGTCTGTTTAATTATAAGTCAACAGGTTGTGCATACATACTTTAGTATCCCTTCAAAGCAAATTCCAATATCGTAAACCCCCCAAAAAAGAAAGAATAATATTAAATAAATCATTCATATTTAAGCACTACATAACGATAAATAAATAATTAAAACTTTATATCTTTTATATAATTAATGCTTAAAACCGTCAGTACTTAGTGAAACTCCATGACTACAGAATTGAGGAAAACGAAGAGAGTTTTACGTTTCACAAATATTTCATTTATTACCACCTTGGTTTCGATATTTACACATGAATACGTTATAGAGATAATCTAAGCTTGTTATCCTAGAAAGTAATGAAATTACACATTAGAAAGTCAAATATTTGAAGTTATTTTATATTTGGCTTAAATGCTTATTGAGACACTTCTTAAAATTACAAATAAAAGTTGATTACTGTATAGATATTACAGTTAAAAGATATACATTTTGTAAACAGAAAATAATTGGAATTTTAGGCAGAGTTTATCTTAAGACAGAATTAACTGGTATAGAGGCCCGTAAGTAGTTGTGTACAAGTCTGTGAAGATTACTATTTTATTAGAATAAATATATTTGTTTTAGTAAAGCATATTACTCTTAGTAAGTATGTCACTTATATAAATGACATATCTTATTGTATATAAGTAACAAAATTTGCGATTTTCTCCTAGTCAATAAGACAATAAGGCCTCAGTATGATTTTTCCCTTTGTATCTTTTTCAACCTGAATTTTCATATCGAAACTTGTAACTGGTATTTGTCTCGTAAAGATGGCTATTATAACAAACAAATAAGAATTTATATTAAGTTTGCAATATGAGCTGGCTGGGACGTTACAATACTTCTAAAGAACATTAAAATATCTTTATCAACTAATCAAACACTGGTCTCTGCGAAAGTAAAAAAAAATTCGGTTCAGCTTTGATTATTGTAATTCCATCAAATATTGTAGGTAGCAGCTTATAAATAACACAGTTTATACAAATTTCTTTAAATACACTTCTCTGAAATTATGTGAAACAAGTTACGAATGAAATGTTAAAGTTCTTATAACTGGTTATAGGATTCGTTATATTTGGCTTGACCTAAAAAAACAGATTTTTTGTGTGTAAAAGTTATTCTCTCTTCCCAAGCTTTGTTTTAATTAAAACAGCAATAACATTAAATCTAAAATACCATACAAATAGCCTAATATAAATAAATATCTCGATAGTATATTATGTTAGACCTAAAGAAACACGAATTAATCAAAGCTAGAAATATTTATAAATTTATCTTCATGACACATTTGTATCCAAAATGAAAAATATCTGTGAATTTATTCTGTTGACACACTTATGTCATAGTTGAAATCATCCATGAATTTATTGAATATTTTCCCGTAGAATCTATCTGTCTTCAAAACCAGACAGACGTCAGGAACAGTCTATTGAAAACTATTTAACACGTAAACACACTGACAAAGGCTTTCTTTGAATTTATGAATTTACTTTGAAGACATTCTGGCATCTTAGCTAAAAGTATCCATGAATTTAATTTGAAGACATTCTCGTATCATAGCTAAAAATATTTACGAATTTACTTTGAAGACATTCTGGCATCATAGCTAAAAGTATCCATGAATTTACTTTGAAGACATTCTGGTATCATAGCTAAAAATATTTACGAATTTACTTTGAAGACATTCTGGTATCATAGCTAAAAATATCCATGAATTTACTTTGAAGATATCCTGGTATCATAGCTTAAAATATCCATAAATTTACTTTGAAGGCATTCTGGTATAATAGCTTAAAATATCCATAAATTTACTTTGAAGGCATTCTGGTATCATAGTTTAAAATATCCTTAAATTTATTTTGAAGACATTCTGGTATCATAGCTAAAAATATTCATGATCTTACTTCGTTGATATCCTTGTATTATAGCTAAAATATTCGTAAAATATTTGGATGATATCTTTGCATATAGTTAAAATATCCTTAAATTAACTTCGATAACACCCTTGCTTAAAAGCGAAACAATATCCATTAATTTATTTTGATGATACACTTCCATCATAGCTAAAAATATCCACAAATTTACCATGATAACACCCTTGCTTAAAAGCGAAAAATTATTCATTAATTTGTTTTGATGATGCCCCCTGTCTTAAAGCTAAAAATATATTTGAACGTACTTTGATGACACTCTCATATCAAAGATAAAAATATCAATGATTTTACTTTGAGAATACTCCTACATTATAAAGTTTTAATAGCCAAGAAATAAAGTCCTTTGGTGTTTACTTCTTGTCTTCGTCAAGGTTTTTCCATTCTAACGAAAATGTTAAATAACATTAGAACCAAAGAGAAACCAATTATTCATAACTTAACACTGTTGTTGTAGCACTAACGATGTGCAGAAGATAAATACATCTTACTGGTATTTCCAAGGTGATCAAATGACTAATTTCATTATCATTGCAGGTTAGTTTACAGTAACTTGATATGTTTGATGAATATTTAACTTTCTCTTGACCATATAATTCTGACAGTGATTATTTTTTCCAGATATGTTATTTTAATAAATAAGTCCCTACTTTTTAAGCACATTAAGTCATAGAGTACAATCGAATTTACCATTGTTGGAGAAGTGAAAATTTCAATTGGCCGAAATTTGAAACCAAGATTTCGTTGATTGAACGGATCGTTTAGGGAACAAAGCAACTTAATCCCGAGTTTCTTAACATTCAGTTTTCAATTCATTGGTTATTGAGATTTT